CCAGAGTCAAGCTGCCTACGGTCAAGCTTCCGATATTCGACGGAAGGACAGAAGAGTGGAAACGATTTTACGAGACGTTTCAATCCCTGATACATGCCAACGAGGTCATTCCAAACATACAGAAGTTCCAATATCTGGTCACATCATTAAGTGGCAACGCAGCCAAAATCATCGAGTCAATCGAGTTGACAGACGCAAACTACTCAGTGGCATGGGAATTGCTGAAGAAGAGATTCGATGATCCCAGAGCAATAAAGAAGAAACACATACAGTGCCTGTTCGCGATGCCTAAAATCGAGAAAGAATCAGCCCTCGCAATCCGGAGTTTAGTGGATTACACACAGAAACATCTGCGAGTATTGAAATCAATGCAGATGCCAACCGATGCATGGGGCGAGCTGATAATACACATGATGGAGTCAAAACTAGATACGAAGACGTTACGAGCATGGGAGCAAAGCGGGAAGGCAAACGACGCATCGTTTGACAAGTTAACGGACTTCTTGGAGGAAAGATCTCAAATGCTTGAACGATTAGAAGCTCGAAGCAAGGAGAAGCCCTCTGCGCACAAAAAGGAAGATGACAAGACGAAATCAAAGACTCACAGCAAGGATGGAGCAATCGCGTTAGCCAACTCAACGGACAGCGGAAAATGCTACTTGTGTCATGGCGAGCATTGTCTATATCAATGTGGGAAATTTCTGTCCTACCCCATTGACGAACGCATCAAAGAAGCGCGACGACTTAAACTTTGCATGAATTGTCTACGTAACGATCATTTCGTTAAAACATGCAAAATGGGTTCGTGCAGAAAATGTGCTGGAAGACACAACACACTGTGCCATCGAGATACGACGAACGAAAAGAAGAATGACGATGAGAACAAAAAACAAGAGTCCAAAGACGCAGACCCGAAAGCGAGCAGCAGCGTTGCAGTACATCACGCAGTCAACATGGAGAAGAAGCACGTGCTACTGGCCACAGCGATAGTCAATGCGGTACATCGGAATGGATCCGTGGTACCAATTCGTATCCTTTTAGATGGCGCAAGCGAAGTTCATTTCATTACGCACGCCGCGTGCAACAAGTTAGGCGTGAAACGCAATCGAGAGTCCGAAATTGTAACCGGAATTAGTGAAATAGAGAGTAGCGTAACGCAATGCTGTAACGTTGTACTAAAATCAAGATTCTCCAGTGCGTGCGCTAACATTCGCGGACTCGTTGTACCTAAAATCACTAAAAGCTTACCATGTTCCGACATCGATTACAACGCGTTGAACATTCCGAAGAATCTTAAATTAGCCGATCCGGAATTTTATAAAAAGGGACCGATAGATCTTCTTGTCGGGGCCGAGTATTTCTATGATTGGATATTAACAGGTAAAATCGAATGCGGTAATGACCGTCCAATATTGCAAAACACGGAGCTTGGGTGGGTAGCGGCCGGGCGAATCGCGAGCGAACTCATAGTGAATTCCCCGTACAGTCGCAACACAGTATCCGCTATGGCATGCACGTCAGAACAATGCGAAAATCTCAGCAAAGACCTAAACAAATTCTGGGAAATGGAAAGCTATCAGCTCGATGAAACGCGCCCTTCGATGGAGGCACAAGAATGCGAGAAATTCTTTGAGAATACTACCACGCGAAATGAGGATGGTAAATTCATAGTGCGGTTACCGTTCTCCGACGATCCCAAAGCATTAGGCGAATCTCGAGAAATTGCAATTAAACGACTATTACAGTTAGAACGACGGTTCGAACGAGATAAGAAATTACACGAAAGTTACACAGCATTTATGCAGGATTACTTGAATTCCGGACACATGTCATTGGTCAAAGAGACTGAGAATAAAACCGACCATGCAATAGTTTATCTACCACATCACAGCGTAATCAAGGAATCAAGCTCAAGTACAAAATTGCGCACGGTCTTCAATGCGTCGAGTAAGACTAGCTCAGGGAAATCGCTCAATGACATTCTAATGACAGGACCCGCGATTCAAGGTAATCTAACCGATATTCTTTTGCGATATCGCATGTACAAGGTAGCGCTAACCGGTGACATTAAACAAATGTATCGGCAAATAATCGTGCATGAAAATGATCGAGATTGTCAGCGAATATTGTGGAGATTTTCGACGAGTGAACCGATTCAGGAATTCAGACTCAATACCGTCACGTATGGCGAAACCAGCTCGGCGTACCTAGCGTTGAGATGCATACGCGTACTCGCGAAAGAGTCAGAACACGAATTTCCGTTAGTATCACGAATGTTATCGGAGCAAACTTACGTCGACGATATTTTAGCAGGCGCGGATAGTCCCGACGAAGCCGCGTTATTACAGGAACAGATTACCACAACACTCAAGACAGGCGGATTCGAGACGCACAAATGGTGTTCCAACAACAAAGAGGTTCTAGCCAAGATACCACACAAGTCGAGGGAAGAGAAGCACCGTCACATGGACACAAGCGAAACGATCAAGACATTGGGGCTCATATGGAACCCAGACAACGACCAATTCCAATTTCATGTACATGGACATGAAGAAGTAGCC